CCCCCCCCTGGGCCAAATTTCCTAGGAATTTGTCCCCCCCCCCTTCGGAAATTTGTCTCCCTCGAAAACATAGTTTACTTTATTGCTATAAGCTCGGAAATCGTGAAGCTTCTTCTAAAACCAAGATCCTGAAAGTGTTTGTCAGTATTTATAGTTAGTTTGCATAATTTATTTGTGTGGAAATTTTTCATTGCGGCCAAGAGCAAAAAGTGTGAAGGAAAGCGCAATAATAATAATGTGCTAGTGCAGTCATGCCAGACACATCACACATGGGTATCTGTAGAGGACAACGTTAATGCATAATGGCTTAGCTTCAAGCTAAGGACACGAAACGATTTTTAGAGATAGGAATTTCTAAGATATTACAAGTTATTTAGATCTATAAATTCAGTCACATATTTAGCAAACGGTGACATCATGCCTTGGCGAATATGTTAATATGCACGCGTCTAATAAATAGCAGGGAGTAATTAGCATTAGGGTAAAAGTAGACTTTTAAGTGGAAATGAGTGGTTATCTCGTAAAAAAACCTTTTCCTATGCATTTTATTTACATATACATGCACAGTATATATAATAACTCTTGTGGTCGAGATGCATTTAATACAGAAGCATTCCGTAAAAACAAAAGTAGACTGCATGCTTTATGACCCACAAAAACATTTCACACACGCAAAAGCACAAAGGTTTGAATGACTAGCAAAACATTCCGTATCAAAAAAAGTATGCAATCTAACTATAAATGCTGAGAAAAATTTCTAGAAATTTGGTTTTAGTAGAAGCTTCACGATGTCCGAGCCTAAAGACAAAGTAAACTATAATTTTTTAGGGGGGGGGGGACAAATTTCCGAAACGGGGGCCATATATCCTAGGAAATATGGCACGGGGGGGGATGGCAAATTTTCGGGAGAGCCAAATTTCCTGTGGCACCGGGATAACTTTTGCCCATATGAACAGGACCTAAATATAGAGCTACAATCTTGGACACAACTGGTTGAGACCATTTTCCCCCCATAGAAAATTCGCGTATTTTTATGATAAACTCCATGTTGAATCATGTTGCCATTCTTAAACCCCCGCTCCCCCAACTCAATGTTGAGCTTGTATCATGGTATATTACCAAAAGTTGTTTCGGCGTTGTTCACAACATTGAACTGGGGGGGAGGGGGAGACAAAGTTTGTTTTGTCAATGTTCAATAACTTTGTAATATTAGCTGGAATGGTCTCAGGGGTTTTGTCCAAGATTGTAGGTCACAGAATTGAATACTGTACAGAAGTCCACTTCCATTGTTTTTAGCGTAAGTGCTATTCGTCATGATTCGTCACTCAGCAAGTACCGGTAAACAGAAGCAGTCCTGTTCACGGTACTTGCTGACTGACGAATGATGACGAATAGCGCTTACGCAAAGAACAATGGAGATAGACTTCTGTATAGTATTCTGTGGCTAGGTGCCGTATAACTGGCGATCTCTTAACTTTAGACTCCAACTAAACCTCGTACCCAGGATCTTTCTTTGGGAAAGACCCTGGCTGCGGCTGGTCAAGTTCGTCGTCAAAAATTTAGCGCCCGAGGGGGTGTGGGGAAAGAATCAAATTACAAGACTCCAACTTAACTAAATTTATTTCTATATCAGTTACCTCTTTCAGTTCTAAACCTTGAGGTCCAGTATATTGTAATGCCATCCTTACATCCGTATTACGCAAACTCCCTGAAAAATACGCTTACTTCAAATGTCAGTTTTATGTCACAAGAGCTACTAAAAAAAGCAAACGTAAACAAACTATCAAAAGACATTTTAAACCGTAATCAATACCAAAACTGAACAAAAACGAGTTAGATAACTTAGATATACAAACTAACTGCACAATGCAAACCATCACAACCGAAATGTGTGCCGTGAATGACTTTTAAAGTTTGAAAAATAACAATATTTATACTGGAATTTAGGGACGGACCATTATTTTTTGGAGGGGGGGGGGGGATGGAAAATTCTTAAAAAAAGTTGATTGAGACAAAAAAGTGCAAATATATTGTTTGCACACATAGTGAAGAGGAAAAAATAGTTTGCAAGCTAATAAGATTATGCAACATCAACCAAAGTTTAATAACAATGAACAGAGCGCTCACCGACATACCCACGGTTTTAACCACAAACGCCATGGGATGGGAGACGCTGGGCACATGTCACACTCTACATATGGGTTTAAATATTAATCATTGAATACAGTCATTTTTTGTCTTTTGTTTTTTTTTTAATTTTTATTTTAATGTAATGAGAGGACCTGTATCAGGGTAAAACACCAGACAGCGAAAAATAACAAACAGATAAACAAACCAGCGAAAAATAACAAACAGATAAACAAAAAGTAAGTTTTAGGCTTTATTCTTTGTCCTTGTTTAACAAAATCGATTTAATTGTTACGTTTTCTACCACTAAGTAATGATAAATTATTGTTAATAATTTTTATTTTTTGTGAATTTTTTCCTTCTTTTATTTCAAATACAAGTATACTTAGCATAAATTTTAGAGCAAATTTAATTCTCAGAATGCAGGAAATGGCATTTCCAGGCTTCAAATTTCTGGGGAAGTAAGCCCCCAAACCCCCCTATTCATGTGTGGTATGTTGGCCACACAGGTGGCCTTCAGCCATTCCTATCGCAGTCTAATATATTATCTCACAAAAAGGTCCCTTTTCAAAAAATCCCCCACCCCACGGGAAAATCCTTAAAAAAGGCCCTGACCAGCGTATACCAAAAAAATCTATTAGATGTCTGTTTACATTTAAATTTATACTTTTGACAACACACCACATGTTGTTCACACGTGCGATAGTGTAATTGGGCACAAATTAAACTTTATATATCAATTGATGATGAAATCCACAGCAATCAGATGGACAAAAAAATGTTTGCAGAAGGAAGCAGGAGCAAAAAATTGTTTGCAACGACAACACCACCAAAAAAATGTTTACGTTGACATGATGGTCCGTCCCTTAGCTGTCAGTATAAAACACGCGCGCTAAACTATAACAGTGATGTTATGATTTTATTGTGCTGAAATTTTGCAATGATTCTCACTAAAATATCTTGAAAATCATTGTAAGCCTGTTTATATAAAGCATACAAAGCATATACATCGACAAGGAACCGCAAAACTCAAAAGCATTTTCGTCCTGGTCGCGTAATTTTGAAAGCGGATGTAATGCCTTGTTCTGACGAAAGACATTACTCGAAATATCGTAATATATTTTACACTGGCTGAAGTGTTCATATCCTTTTTTTGCTGCAGAGTTATTATGCCTACATAATCCCCGTTTACATGAGACTGGGACGAAGTCAAACCGGAATGGGAATGGAAATTGTCAACATGTTCACATGAGACCGGTACGAAGATCACAATATTTTCAACTTATTTCCTTTGCCGGCAATTTTTTTTAGATGGCTTTTGTTAGCATGGGTTGTTCCAATGTCAAGGTTACAGCCGAGACCGGTCTGAAATGTATTTGTGTTTACACACTGGACTGGACTTTGGACTGGACTTTGGGTTAGACTTTGGACTGGACTTTGGACTGGACTTTGGACTGGACTTTGGACTGGACTTTGGACTGGACTTTGGACTGGACTTTGGACTGGACTTTGGACTGGACTTTGGACTGGACTCCAACTTAAACTATTCTTTTTACAGTAAGTTTTCGCATAAATCCCCATAATTATCGTTAGAAACAACGAAAAGGAGCTCGATAGGTCCAATAGAACAACTTACGTCGTGTCTGCAAGATAATGCATGCCAATCTCGTTCCCAGAGCGTGACCGTTTGCAGGTTAGGGTGGGTTGTACGCATGCTCGGCAATTGTTGCAAAATATAAACAAAGTATTCAGTGTGACCAGATTTGGTAATTTTAATTACTTTTGGTAATATTTCGCGATTTTTCTGACTTTTTTGGTAATTGAAAATATTTGGTATTTGTTTTAGTAATTTCTCTTAAGTTAGTAATATTTTGGTTATCACATGAAATTCAACCAAATACGCCATAATGACAAAACCTGAGAACAAGTTGCAGGTCCACGCCTGCAAAGCTGTACATCCAAGTTGCAAGCTGCTGGCCCAAGCTGTCCAGCTGAATCGTCTGAATTGTGCTGATCACCACTTAGCGGCCGGCGCCCAGGCACGATCATCGAGACGCCATATTTGCATTTTGCACAATTGCAATCAAAAAGTACAAGTGAGAAAGAAAACATGGAAAAAACATAGTTTCAGTGATGGAAAACGTTTTATTCATTTTGTTTTGCTGAGATGTTTTATTGATTTTCAGACCACTTTGGTTGACAGCAGAAATTTAGTAATTTTTTCTACATTTTGGTAATTTTTTGCATGCTTATTTAGTAACTGCCTTGCAAAATATCTGGTCACACTGAAAGTATTTCGAAAATTAGAATTTCTCGTCAAAAGTCAGATACTTTTTTAAATGAAATCAATTGAAAACATCTAAAAATTCTGGGATGAATATGCACGAAAGCTCGGATTGATAGAGATACAACTACCTGAAAAATACAAGCAGAACTTCGACGTTTCGAGCGAAGGCCTTTCGACTTGCACTGTTATTTATGTTATTGTTAATGTTTGTACTCGTATCATGATAAATATAATCTCCCCAAGTGCTCAACAACGAGAGAATGTTCACTGTGAAGTGTGGACCTAACACTACGTATACCATAAATTCTGACAGGATAGTATAAATTTAACGAAGTGAGTATATCACAGACTATATGTCCGGCAGCCGGACCTGAACGTTTTCAAAAAACTAAATGTCCAGCAGTATATATAGTGACTATAGTTAGAGTTAAATTTTTCTAAGATAAACCAATCCCAACCCCAATTCTCTAACCCTAACCTAACCTTATGAGAGTTAGAAAAGCTGGAAAAAAAGTTGAAAAAATTTTAAGAAAGAACAACAGTGATAAGTCAGACGAAACACATCCCGTTTCACTTTCCGCACGCAGTGACTATAGTCACTACTACTGCCGCGCCGGACATTTAGTTTTTTCAAAACATTCGGTCCGGCTGCCGGACATATAGTCTGTGGCATAGTCACTTCATTAAATTTACTATCCTGTCAGAATTTATGGTATACGTAGTGTTAGGTCCACACTTCACAGTAAACATTCTCTCGTTGTTGAGGAGATTATATTTATCATGCCATACGAGTACAAACATTAACAATAACATAAATAACAGTACAAGTCGAAAGGCCTTCGCTCGAAACGTCGAAGTTCTGCTTGTATTTTTCAGGTAGTTGTATCTCTATCAATCCGAGCTTTCGTGCATATTCACCCCAGAATTTTTAGTTGTTTTCAATTGATTTCAGTTAAAAAAGTATCAGATTTTTGACGAGAAATTCTAATTTTCGAAATACTTTGTTTATATTTTGCAACAATTACCGAGCATGCGTACAACCCACCCTAACCTGCGAACGGGTACGCTCTGGGAACGAGATTGGCATGCATAATCTTGCAGACACGACGTAAGTTGTTCTATTGGACCTATCGAGCTCCTTTTCGTTGTTCCTAACGATAATTATGGGGATTTATGCGAAAACTTACTGTAAAAAGAAAATTTTAAGTCAAGAGTCCGGTCCAAAGTCCAGTCCAAACCTAGTCCAGTCCAGTGTTTACGATATGCCCAAGTGAAGTGCTGCCTTAAAGCTGGAAATAAACGTTTAAAGATGCGGTACAGTCCATATGTAAACAAAGGCCTTGTTTACATGTCGGTATCCAAAATATTGAATTTTATTCGACAACTATTTATATTTTCATGATTGTAGAGTATCATGAATTATCAAGACACAACAATTAAAGGCACAGTTCAGCTTTTTGAACGATGATTTTAAGGCGCATTTCAGCCCTTTTAATTGAAAAAACTAACTAGGAAAATCAATTAAGTATAATTCAAAATCAGTAAACTCGATGTTTTTAACAATAAAAATGTTTTAAAATGTTAAAAACATTGAGTTTGGTGATCTTGAATTATGCTTAATTGATTTTCCTAGTTAGTTTTTTCAATTAAAAGAGCTGAAATGCGCCTTAAAAACCATCGTTCAACAGGCTGAACTGTGCCTTTAAGCTTTGCAAGACCATAAAATGAAATAAAAACCTAAATAAACTGTTTGTATAATAAAAAGAGGGATCCTTTGTGCACATGCGCAGATCGGACTATATCGCATCTTTAAATAGTTGGGAATAAATTGCGATTTTCCAAATTCAAAAGCAACAGCAGTACCATTAGGGTCAGACATATATATACCAAAAGAATTTCTGGCATGAGCGAGGATCAAATAAATAGAAAAAGGAATTTATATCACGCATTAAGGCCATCATATACCCATCTAATATCAAAATAGCATCCTTACTTTGTGTAAAAGTATTCATCAAAGCTGAACCAAAGTTAACATAGGGAGCCCAACTTCATGCTCATTTGTAATAATTGAACCTTGATGGTCCCTTCCATAGTTTATTATATACCAAATTTTTTCATAATTTTGTTTCTCATTGGGTTCTAACTCGAGACAGTATGTATCGAAATGCTTTTGAAAATGGTCTGATTGCATGTGAGAGATATTTGTCAATCGATGAATTACCGACTGTTGTCCAATGGTCGAATGATTTTCAGGCACACATATACAGCCCTTTTACGTTGCTTATTTAGATCATGTGGACCGCACGCTGGCTCGTATCGCTACCGATTAATATTTAATCAGCACACTGTGTACATTAAATATTAATCGGCATAGGTTTTAACCAATCAGAATTAAACTCGAAATTAAGCGTTGACAATTTAGGTTTTGCAGACCGCCCAGACTAACGCGGAGATTTCATTAACTAACTTTGGGTTTTATCGTCAAGATTATGGAATTAAAAATTCAGTTTTGTTTTAATAGAAAATTTACGAATTATAGACTCTTATTTTGGATAATTTTTTGAACAAGTCAACAAATAGTGTCTTAGTAAAACAACATGTATTCATAAAATGCTTCTTCTTAGTATATTGAATTTATTTACTTTGACAATTTTAAATAGATTCTGTCGAGCCAAAAATATTTTATTATGGAGCCAAAATATCCGCCATATTGAACCGTCAAATGCTGGCATAGCAACGGCAGTTGTATAACTTTTCCGAAGAAACTCTTTAGATGTTGTTTGACAAAAGTAAGATATTGCTCGCTTTTAAACAAGTAATAATTGCCCATAAATTCAGATCTCAATCTTAAATTTTCTATTTTTTTAAACTGTATTGAGCCACCTTGTCTGCTAGAAACTTCAAGTGCTTGCTGTATGATTTGTGGAACACGGGAGTTTAAAATCGGAATGCATGAATGACATTTTTCATTTTCAAATGAGGTTATGCTGAACTATTAAGATTCGAAACTGAGGAACAAAGTGTTATTTTTAAATCATGCGCAGATTGTTTATTCTCACCTCGTGTTGGTCGTCCTTCCCTACGCGAAGCGGAATTATAGGAAAAGTTGAGGCAGTAGTTCCCCTCTTGCAACCGCACCTTGTAGACCTTCTTGTAGAGAATAATCTGCCGGGTTACAAGTATGACAAGACTTCCAAATCGCCATGCAGTGTGCAAAGGGATTATATTAGGCAGGACATTGACCATGCAGCGCTTCTTGGAAGTCATAAAAAAACCCATAAGGTCCAGTTCAGGTGGATACAGTTAGCAGACGAATCAAGCCGAGACCATGCACCTTGACCAATGCTAGTGCTAATTATAAAACAGTTCTATTTTTGCTGCCCACAACACCAGGTTTGCATTCTATATGTATTTCAAGGTGTTTGGACAGAACATGACGATGTTGTGCCGTGAAATAATGGTTGAGAATAACGCAAAGACGATTAGAGATGCGAAGCGACCGAGAACGAATTAGTCAAGGTATTTCTTGGTCTCACAGATCAGAGAATTCATTCCGAATATATGCAGCGAAAGCGGTCCCATTGTCGGACGTGATAAGAAGGGACAACCAAACCAAGTCGTATGGCCTGATGCACAAGAAAAGGCGTACAGCGCCCTCAAGTCGGAAATTACCAGTTCACCGATCCTCCCAACTGCCCCATAACACTAAATCATCTACACTGAGACATGGTGCATCTAACACAGGACTTGGAGCGCTATTAATGCAGGAGCGTGGAGGCAAACTTTCCCCAGTTAGTTATGCCAGCAGGAAACTGATAGAAAGGGAGAAGTATACATGGTACAATCGGGAGTGCCTCGCGATAGTTTGGGTTGTCCGGAAGTTCCTGATATTACTACAAACCGACCACCAAACTGGTTATGAGATGGACGATGTTCTTACAAAATTATAGTATCAAAATTGAGTCAATATACAAGAGTCAACAATGTGGGCGCTGACTATCTTAGCAGAGTTTGTTAGAGACACGTTTAGACTTGATACATTCAAGAGACCGCGTTTCATATTCATTTGAAAGATTTGTGTTTTGTATTGAAATTGTTGTCAGATTTCTTATAATGGGGGTCGTGTCACAAATCTTTGCTCCTATGAACAAAAACGCTAAGGGGAAGCTTTGTCGCTCTGCGCGGTGTGTATAGGAGAATGGGAGAGACGCGAGCGAACTCAAGATAGCGAACTTTTAATGTTATTGTTTTTTTGTTTTATTTCTATTAAATCTACAAGAAGTATGTGATTTTCAATTTTTATTCGGGATAAATAATGACCGTTTCCTGAAGAATTCCGTGACAACACCAAATTTGTTTATGTTCAAGCTCGGTATATTGGATGTTTTGTAGTATATCAGCAAGCAGGTATATCAGCTTCCCGCAGTCGATAATTTTTATTACCTTGACAGCACAAAGGGAAAATATATTATCTTGATTGAAAAGAACAGTTTAACAACATTTCTCAAGGAAGCAATTAAAATAAGTTAATTAATATCACACTTTCGATACAAGAACAAAATAAAACAAAATGTGATTACAATTCAGAAGAAGGGATTTTAATTAAGTGCATATGCATACAAACTTAATTAATATGGATTACATTGTCTGCCTAGATCGATTTAAATCTATTGCTTCGCAAATTGGAAAAGTGTGTATATATATAGTAAGTCAAATTACAGTAACATTTTTAAGGCGTTATCTTTGAGTTGTGTTTGTTCAAGTCGTAAAGTAACACGAGCAGAAGAATATTGAACTGCACTAAACATTTGATTGGTAACACTGGCAGGTGAACGAGGATAATAATTTAAACGCCTTCCTATTTGCATACACTGAAATAGTTTGTTTTGATCACAGTCGGTCGCCGGATTTTAAAACGATACGTTGCATGTGTCTGTGTTATTTTGCAAGGCACAAATGATATATCAAAGCGGATTATAATCAGAGAAACGTAACAATGTAACCAGCCTTAGCGGTCCCCAATATCGAATGTTTTGGACGATATTTCTCATTATATCTAAAACAGATAGAATTTTATATTTTATTAATTAACAGTGCGCAGGTGCCACACTCAAATGGCAATGCTCAATTACGAAAAAGCTTTTAAAAACATATTTATTGACAAACGCAATATACAAGTATAATCATTTCCAGGTAGGTTGCTTGGAAGCAAGACAAATGGAAAGTCAAAACGCATCATTTTCAAGCTTCTCCAGACCGATAGAACCCTATCTCAGTCCCGATGAACGAACAATTTTAACTGGAGTGTACGTGGTATTGAGTTCTCTTGGTTTATTCGGCAATGGAGTTGTGATATACGTTGTAATTTCTTTGCGATGTTACTTTGATGTTCCTGCCAACATTTTCATCCTCAGTCAAGCGTTTGCCGACTTCGGAACAGCGATATCGTTATTAATATATATAGTGCATATGTATGTGTGGATTTGGGATATATTTTACTGGTATACAGCTGTAGTTTGGTTGGCTTCTTTAGGAACTTTATTTTTGCTAACTTTCAATCGCTTGCTCTCAGTAGTTGACTCGTTCGCATACGCGCGTCTGATGACATCCACCCGTGCAAAAGTTCTGGTAGTACTTAACTGGATTTTATCCCTCATTGTCACAGTGTACCCTCTACTCATGCCATGGCCTTCATTGAACACAAACCTTGGACGATACTATGTTGTAATAATAACCGCATTGGTGATAATGTTTAACATCTACCTATTTCGCGAGGCAAGAATTCAAAACAAAAAAATCAAGCGTCAAAATCAAATAGTGACCGGCTTACAGGTAGTTATACATGTATATTTCACCACCTTCGGTTATTGCGTAATGGGAATTTGACGGACTGGAATAACAAATTAGTTCTTATAATATAAGAATTTTTTGTCAGAATAAAGAAAAGCAGAAAGCAGCGTGCTTGTATCTTCTTCTTACTAATTCTCCTCAAGTTCATAATTACTAAGTCTCCTAATTCTCGAAAGTTGACATTCTCAAAAGCGTTTTTCTCTCTTTACACGAAGTGGTCGAGGTGTATATTTCAGCGAATGCTGTTCATAGAATACATTTGAAACTACAGCTGTTAATTAAGTCGTTTAAATACATCTGTACAGATACATAAAAGAGAAATTATTCTTGATGTTTTTACGCAACTTCGTGTTTAAGTGGCGGTATTTTTTTTTTAAATTCTGGACTCTTCCCGATGAAGCTGAAAATATTTTGTTCTTTTATAGGTACCTTTCATTTAGGTACCTTTCATAACTAAATTCTCTTTTTTCATGCGGATTAATCGGCAGTTTATAATATAGTTACAACTCTCTTGTGCTTGTGGCATTTGGTTCAGTAAAGGCCATGTTACACGAGGCATTTATATTGCTGTAACTTGCAACGAGTAATGTTTTAACAAAGTCTATTCAGTACTAACTTGAGAACTTGCCCTGCAAACTCGGTCGACATTTTCCTTATTACCTAACATACCACGTCAGAAATAAATGAGAAAAATTTCAGAAGAGCGGGAAACAGCCCACGTACTTTGTGTAACATACCATCATTGTCGTCCCCAGAGCCATTTTCACTCGGTCACTTGTTGAAAATTAGGCTCTGTTTGGCTTCTCGGAGAACTGCTATATCGCAGAAGTTGAGAGCAATTTTCGCTAGGAGAAATTTTTCTTTCAAACATGCACAAATACTTCCCTTCTTCGTAATACTTTCTCTGTGAAAATTGGCACGGGCGCTGAAGCATCCCAATTCAAGAGTATATGCGCTTTAGAAACTACTGAAATTTTCTTGCAGTTTCGGTTCCGCATATCCCAGGGACTGAGGACGGATGTTTAAATCAAATTAAGGATGGCCCTTAATTTGACTGGGAGGGGCCGGTTGTATAAAAAGGTAGTTAACTACAGTTAGTGCGAAATTCAACCAATCAAAACCACGTTTTTTGAGTGAACTACGATTTAACTACAAAATAGTGGTTCAAAAGCAGTTAAGAGTTTTACACAACTGGCCACAGTATTGCTATGTTTGTAGTATCCTATCCAATCAGAATGAAGTACAATGACGCCAGTGTCAAGCATCGCGGCATCACCAACATATATTTGTTCCTAATGGGCGAGCTGGCAAACCCTCATTCCATACAATCTTGAATTGTCTGTGCCAGTGTAGGTAGTATCAATAATATAACAAACATAGGCTGCAACGTCGCGACTGCAAGGTCTTATGATCTTTGTTACACCAGGTTCTCCAACCTAGTTTGCATTTCTTCCTAAAAATTTCTTCCTTGAAACCAAAAACCCTTTTTGGACATGTCAATAACTTTAAAATTAAATAATACTCTGTATTGCTTTTCCTTTATCAAACTGCAAATATATGTCTAGGTCACACTTATCCAATGCCTCTGTCTTTCTGCCAATATGTTCAGGCACTCGTCATTAATGTTATCTCTCTTTATAATTATTAGAGTAAAATAATATAATTATTCCATTTATTACACAGAAAAACCTAAAAGAAGACTTCAAGTCTGTGCGGACTCTCGCCATCGTCGGTGGAACATTTCTGGTGTGCTGTTTACCATTCACAATTGTGGCATTTATCTACGGAGATAATAAAATGTCTATAGAGTTTCAGAGAAACGCTGCGTTTACTGGATTACTCATGCCAATTAATGCCATTTTAGACCCAGTTATATACTATTTCCGCAGCGCAGAGTTTCGTGCGTTCTACCAAAGATTCAAAAGATCATGGAAGGGCTCTAAAGGGAACTCTTCTAAACCTATTCCTTCTTGGACGATAGCATGGAAGTGCAGAGTAACACGACAAATAAAACCAGTTGAAGGAAAATGGCCACCGACTGTGGTACAGTTGCAGAAGCAAAGAAGTAGGTCACTAACAATTTCAAATGAATTGTAAGTAGGCTGTAGAGGTATGCTTCGTTCCCATACAAATCTTATATACAGTAGATAGTGCATCTAATTATTCTGCAATTCAAAAATTGAAGCCGTGATTGCAGACTCAGGATATTCCCATGAAATGAGAAGACTCGTATGTTTTCTATTTCTTAAACAGGGAACTTAAACATTAAGTTAAACCTATCCCAAATACATTTTCAAACTATTCAAATGATGAAAGTTATTGTTGTTTTTAAGCGTTTATTGCGAGTGGGAAACTCCAACATGACCGCCATCTATTCAAATGGGGGTAAACGCTGGAATATTCTTGGCTTCAATTTTACTAAAAAAGATGCGTTATTTAATGTATGTAAGATATCTATGCTCGATCCTCCTAGCTTACTGTGACGTCTCCTGCATGGCTGCCATGCACCTACATGCAAAAAGGACCGAGCAAGTGTTAGCGAAAGTTTGTTGTTTGCTAATTACAATTTTCAATTAGCGTGAGTATAGTTTGTATAGCTGTAGCAAACGACATAGATGATTACTTTAGTCAACCACCAATCGCTATATTCGCTACCAATTTTAAAATTTCTCATCAATAAATTAGTAACAGTAGTGATTAACACACCAGGCAGAAAGCACAATTTCAAGATAAATATTAAACTCCAGCGTATGACTTTCAAGCAAGACATGACTATAAAGAATAGATGTAGAATTTGTTTGCTGACGTTTCATTCTATACATCACATCTCCGATCCGAGCATTTTTAAATTTATTTACAAGAATATATCTTACATATATTAACAAATTATTGAACGAATTACAAAATCTGAGTGCTGTGATGTACAAGCTATCTCAAAAAA